TATTTAGAAGAATGCAGTTATCGTCGGAACCTAATGTTTCAGTGACACAACATGGTGACAGCGGTCTTATTATTTAGAAATTAAAGAGTTTTTGTCGATATAACTTTTGTTAACTTATACGAGTAACAATAATAAAATAGTGCCGTTATTAAATTAATAAAAATGGAACACGCAAGGCCACCTCCGGAGTTAAGTATGGACGGTAGCCCTGTCGGCCGGGCCGACGCATGGAAAAGGTGGAAAACCCAAATTATCCCATGGGTTAATTCGTTAGTAATAGTTGCAAAAAAAAATGGTGGTATCCGTTTATGTCTAGACCCACGACCTTTAAATACGGCTATACAACGAGCGCATTTTCAACTACCTACAGTAACTGAACTGGCTACTAAACTCAAAGGTGCCAAATATTTTTCTGTGTTAGATGCTAATTCTGGGTTCTGGGCCATACAACTGGACTCTTCCAGTTCTGACCTTTGCACATTTAATACTCCGTTTGGAAGGTTCCAATTTTTAAGATTACCGTTTGGTTTAAATTGTGCCGCCGAAGTATTCCATGCAAAAATTAAACAGTTATTTGAGGATTTAGAAGGAGTGGAATCTTTCATAGATGACCTTATTTGCTGGGGTCGCACAAAAGCTGAACATGACACACGCTTAAAAGCTTTACTGCAAAGAGCACGTGAAGTAAATTTAAAATTTAATATTGAGAAATGTAAATTGTGTGTAGAAGAGGTATCATATTTGGGTCATGTATTTAATATGCATGGTATGAAGCCAGATCTGAATAAAGTTAAAGCTGTAAAGAATATGCCAGCCCCTACTGATAGAAAATCATTAGAGAGATTTTTAGGTGCTATTAATTATTTATCAAAATTTATACCAAATTATTCAACATGTATCACTCCTTTGACTAGTCTATTAAAAAAAAATATAATATGGCAATGGAGTCAGGAGCAACAAAATGCATTTGAAAAGTTGAAAGAATTAGTATGTAATGCGCCCGTTTTAGCTTTGTTTGATGTGTCACGCCCGGTAGTATTATCAGTGGATGCTAGCAGTACCGCTTTAGGAGCGGTGCTTATGCAGGATGGTCGTCCAGTAGAATATGCGTCACGAACATTAACTGATACACAACGTAGGTACGCACAGATCGAAAAGGAACTACTTGCTATAGTGTTTGCTTGTGAAAGGTTTAATCAGTATATATTTGGCAAGAAAAATATTATGGTGGAAACAGACCATAAGCCGTTAGAATCTATTTTCAAAAAAGCATTAGAATCGGTTCCCGTTCGATTACAACGTATGTTATTAAGATTACAAGGCTATGAATTAGTTGTAAATTATAAACCTGGAAAATTAATGTATATTGCTGACACCTTATCCCGCGCGCCTCTTGCCGATTTATGTAATAATGACATTAGTAGCCAGATAATATGTCAAGTTAATCTCCTTATGAGTAATGTGAAAATGTCAAACGATAAATTAAATTTAGTCAGAGAACATACATGTAAAGATGTTGATTTTTGTGAATTGCTCCATTACATTAATAACAAGTGGCCTAAATACAAAAATAATTTACCTGAAAAATTAAAGAAATTTTGGTCTTACAGAGATGAATTACATAGCATAAATGGAGTTATTTTCAAAAATAATTTAATTGTCATTCCGCCATCATTAAGGAATAAAATGCTAACTATCGTACATGAGGGTCATCTTGGTATTGACCGATGCAAAAGGCGAGCGCGGGAGGTGATTTTTTGGCCAAATATAACGCATGATATCGAACTTCATGTTAAAATGTGTTCAACTTGTCGAGAGTACTCAAATTATCCTAGTAAAGAACCCATGATCCCTATTAAAATACCTAACTTACCATGGAATAAAATTGGTACAGATATTTTTGAATACCAACGAAAATATTACTTAATTTTAGTTGACTATTATTCGGGTTTCATTGAAGTGGGAAAACTAAACAACATAACCACAAACTCAGTAATAAACATAATGAAGGAAAGTTTTGCAAGATATGGTATACCGGAATCAGTCATAAGTGATAATGGTACACAATTTACAAGTCGTGATTTTAAACTATTTGCACATCAATGGGGTTTTACACATATAACGTCATCCCCTAATTATCCACAATCAAACGGGAAAAGTGAGAGAGCCGTCCAAACTGTAAAAAAAATGATAAAAAAATCAGTTCATAGTAATGAAGATTTCTATTTGAGTCTATTGAGTTATAGAAATACTCCCCGGGATAATTTGGGTTCTCCAGCACAGCTGCTGATGGGGAGACGCCTAAATTGTAAATTACCTGTACATCCAAAGTTGTTAAGGCATGATTGTAAAATATCTCATAATTTTGTTCATAAGAGTTTATTAAATAAACAATTGAAAAGTAAAATGTATTATGACTCGCATACAAAAACATTGCCAGAGTTAAATGTTGGTGATAACGTCATGATATTGGATCATAATAACAAAATGCATGGACAAGTTATTTCTAAGTGCCCAACTCCACGTTCTTATATAGTGAAAAATAGACGAGGTGCAACATATCGACGTAACCGCCGACATTTAATAAAATGCGAGCCCAAGTGCAGTACGACAAGCGATGGGGATAATACTGAGCAGGATACTTTAAAAAAAAATAATTTTGCCGTTCCATGTTCAAGTAATACTAATTATTTATCTAATTCATCTAATATCCATAAAAAACAAATTGAGGGCAAAAAACCCATATCCATATCCCCACCGCTTACTCGTAGTAAAGCTAAGGAAATGAAAATGAATATTGATAATATTAATTTACACTGTAACTAACTGTAAGAATAGGGGTGGTAGTGTATAAGTAGTTTTAATCAATAGTTTTTCTTTATTGTTTATTTCCATACGTAGACTTATACATACCAGTGTTAGAAAGTATATTTTGTTTATTTGTTTAAGGGAAAGATGTTGTAGGTAGGTCAACATTAATTATTGTATTCCCTACCTACTTATTTAGAATAAAGCAGTGATCGTCGTAACATAATGTTTCATTGACACAACAGGGCCTTTGAATCGTAACTTAATGCGGCACTGAAACGAAAACTAACAGTTCTACTCAGTCATATAATAAAATAGATACACAACACAACTAGACCTCTGATTCATGGATAATTTCTTTCGCACTGACCCTATATCATTCCCTCTAGACTCAACTCTGAACATATGTTTTTGCATAATATAACTTTATAGACAGTGAACCGAACTAGTGTACCTTAGAGATCAGAATACATAATTGTCCACTAGACGAAGTTAACTATCATAAATATTATTTGACAGCCTCGGTGGTATAATACTGTAGCACACCGCTTTACTTCCGATGGTTGCGGGTTCGATTTCTCACACAGTACCAACATTTGTATTCATGAGTATTTGTATCTGACTGGATATGAAATCTGTATAGGTAACAAATGTATCTATGTATTTATAAGTTATCTACTACCGATAACACAAGCTCGGCTTAGCTTGGGCTAGTCCTACTTGTTACTACAGATACTATTTTTACTGAAAGAGATCATTCGTTTGTCAAAAATATTTTCTTAATTTTAAAAGTATATCTATGCATATAAATAAAATTAGAGTGTCTGTTTGTTTACAATAACCGTTTTTTGTATCTACATGCATATGAATATAAATACGGTACATACACCAAAATAACATTTTTTGCAATTTTTGTCTGTCTGTCTGTCTGTTTGTTCCGACTAATCTCTGAAATGGCTGGACCGTTTTTACGGGACTTTTTTTGGCAGTAACTTAGGCTGCTTTTATTTTAAAAAAATAAAGTTAAATTCCACGCGGACGAAGTTGCGGGAACTGCTAGTTCTTGAATATAATAAGTACAAGCTCTGCTTACTGTGGGACTAGATGGCGCTGTGTGAATTGTCCTCGGATATTATTATTATATTACAAATACTATTTTTACTGAAATGCATCATTCATTTGTGTTCAAAAATAAATAACAGGATATTCAAATATTTGTAGAATAAAATACCATGTTTATGACATAGAAATAGTAAACAAGTCATTCGATCGAAATTATTCCAAGTGCACTGGACTGTAGCATTCACTGGCAGCTTCCGCTATCAAGCAACAAAATATTGGAACTACAACCCTCCGAGATTCAGGCACTTAATCACTGTACACACTTATAAATATCAAAAAGAACATCCTGCTACAAAAACAAATAATAGGTATTCCATAAAATTTCCTTGGGTAACGGATGCAAACTGGCGAAATGTTTTCTTTTCACATTATTATGTCTTTTAATCGGCAAATATTGACGTCAGTAATTTCAATCTTTCTCAGCAATTACAAATCATATAGGGCTGATATTTAAATATTTCATTGTTCATATTTTTGACATTATATATATTGTTCTCGTTACATAATTGAGAAAAAGTATCAAAGAATGGCGTAAGTAAATATATATATACATATATATATATTCATCACGGCGGTGTTGCCTTAATCTTAGGTACTACATATTTCAAATTATATACTTAAAATTTGACTACGATATATATTAAAAATTTGCGTCATATACCAAATAAAAATTAATAATATTTATAAAAATAAAATGTATATTTCCTTCTTATTCTCTACGTTCCTTATTTAATAAAATTTATTATTTCTGTTTTAATAATAAAATGTATTATATAATATTAATTATTATTATATCGTAAATATATAAAAATATTAGGACACTTAATGTGGCACGATGTATTTATGAAAGTTATTATTGAGGGAAAGATAAAAGGAAAGAGGGGACGACGAAGACCAAGGCACAGCTTTATTAAGCAAATGAACGACAGAATTGGAGTCGTGTCCTGAAGAAGTATGATGGAAGATCGTAGAAAATGGCATAAGCTCCACCGACAAGAGCGTCGCTCTTAAATTATGAATGAATGATTATTACATTAAAACAATTGCTAAAATATTTTTTTCTATTTCAGAACATACAACTAGAGAACACATCGATGATGTATGAAAAATGGAGGAAGATACCGATGCCCTTAACGTTCAAGATAACAATTTTCAATGTTACCAACGTTGACGAAATTAATAATGGCAGAAAACCAAAACTGCAGGAGATTGGCCCTTTTGTATATAGGTTAGTTATTATTTACTTATTTCTATGCCTATTTTTTTACATACCGTTTTAAATTTGCACGGTCATTATACGTATAAACAATATTGGGAACTCAATAATTTGCTGAGTGGTCTATTTTTTCCAGATCACATGACTAAAAACGGTATATTAGTTGCATATTACTTGAAATAAGTTTACAAAAAAACACACATGTAAATAAATAAAAATTATTACTTAGTAACATAATTACTCATAACATTTTTGTACTTACCAAACTAAACTTTGACTTTTTGAAGATTTTATTTTACGAATTAATAAATTCAATTTCAGAGAATATCGAGAGAGGAATGTATTAGGTTATGGAAGTAATGATACAATTAGATATATGCTCAAAAAGACGTTTATTTTCGATGCTGAAGCCAGCGCTCCGTTGACAGAAGATGAAGTGGTGACAGTCATAAATTTTTCATACATGGTAAGTTTTTTTATGGATATTAATGGAATAGTACATCCGCATGTGCGGGTTTACGCTGGCGGGCACCAGTGGAAGATGATAAGATGAGCATGAGGTCAGGTCAGTTACCTCATTAAGGCAAAATCAACAAGAATTTATCACGATGGTGTCTTGGGGGAACCGCGTGGAGTTCAACCTGACATGGTACATTGCATTGTACATGGTACAGCAATGAAATAGAAATATTCTTTATTCAAATAAACTCATTACAAGCACTTTTGAATAGTCATATTTTGATTCTACCACTCATTCGGAATGCAGATTCATCACAAGAAGAATGAGCAAGAAACTTGTGTGTTGCTCTTTTTAATAGATGTTTTTTTTATATAAATAATTACAGTATATGAGGTCATAAATCCACGTAACTGACACTACCTATCACTTCTTTATAAAACAATTACATAGCAATATAGAAGACCTGCATACGACTACTATTCAAATAGATTTATGCGAATCTTCCAACAAAATATTATATAATATCTCAGGACAATTCACACAGCGCCATCTAGTCCCAAGCTTATGAGTACTAACAACTGATATAAGTACATAGATACATTTTTTTGTAAATATATACATAATAGCAAGTGGGTTGTTAGTAATGTGGACTAATGACCCCATTACTAACGATACACCATGTTAGGGTTTTATTATATTATTGTTAGTTGATAATTTCTTCGTGATTTTGCCACGATGGGCTAACTGACCTGACCTCATGTCCATCTTATCCACCATTTGTGCCTCACCAGCGGAAACCATTAGCGCAAGCGGGTGCAACATTCCAGTATCAACACTTAAACATAAAAACATCCAGACCTATACAAACAATCATACTCATGAATTACATATATCAAACTAGCTTTTGCCCGCGGCTTCGCTCGCGTTAATTTATCCCCTTAGGGGTGGAATTTATCAAAATCCTTTCTTAGGGGATGCCTGCGTCATAGTAACTTTATGCATGCAAAATCTCAGCCCGATCGGTTTAAAATTGACAAAGTTTCATACAAACTTTCATCCCCTATTTTATCCCTTTGGGGGTAGAATTAATCAAAATCCTTTCTTAACGGATGCCTACGTCATAACATCTACCTGCATGCCAAATTTCAGCCCGATCCGTCCAGTGGTTTGGGCTGTGCGTTGATAAATCACTATGTCAGTCACGATTGAGTTATATACTTATATTTAGATATATGTTTGAAGCATGCGAGGAATCAAACCGGCACCCATCGGAAACAAAAGAAAAATAAGTATTATAACAGTGTATGTTTATTTTCCAGGCGGCCCTGTTGACTATAAATGACATGATGCCAACACTAATCCCAACAATGAATATGGGATTCGAAGAGATGTATTCACAATTTGGTTTGAAAGATCCATTTCTTACAGTGAAAGCTCGGGATTTACTGTTCGACGGTGTCTTCCTCAATTGCAAAGGAAATCAATCTTCTCTAGGTGAGGCTCTAATAGTGTATACAAACAAATATAATAGAAATGATTTTTATTTTCAAATTAACAACTTCTCGCTATATGCATATGACTATCATTACAAGCACTTTTGAATAGTCACATTTTGATTCTACCACTCATTCGGAATGCAGACTCATCACAAGAAGAATGAGCAAGAAACTTGTGTGTTGCTCTTTTTAATAGATGTTTTTTTATATAAATAATTACAGTATAACAAGTAAGAGGCATGCGATAATCAACATAGAAATCGCTACGCACTCATTATTAGTGTAATCAGATAATCTGACAATATTATCTGATTATATATCTCTATCTATGGATTTAAAGTTTTTCTATAAAAACATTATTATCGTTAACGAATTCTTCAATTTTATAGTAAGCTTTTTTCCAAGGATCTGTTTTATTTGACATTTAAATATTTTTTCTTGCAGATTTATAACAGACTCTGGTATTTTATTGTAAAACCTTACGCAATTGCCATAAAACGAATTACTAACTTTAGCCAAACGACATTTAGGTAAAATCAGTTTGTTATTGTTACGTAAGCTTTTATTGGTGCAATCACTAACTCTTTTGAAACTGTCTATATTCTCTATTTCTCGTTCATTAATACATAATACTGAAATTTACACTGATTATTTAGAAATATGCCCTGTTAGAACAATAACAGCAAATCTACTAATAGTAAGTACTACAAAGTTGCAGAATTTCAGGCGCCATTGAAACATCCGCTTGCTGACATATAGCGACACCTCATCGCATCATATATAACGCTACAGTGGTGAGGTGATAACCACCGCGCAACATTACAATAATATGTTATGTTATCTATACATATTAATAAAATTGGAATGTCTGTTTGTAATATTGAAACAACCGTTTTTTACTACACATGCATATGAAAATAAATACAGTACATACACCAAAATAACATTTTTTGTCATTTTTGTCTGTCTGACTGTTTGTTCCGGCTAGCCTCTGAAATGACTGGACCGATTGTTACGGGACTTTTAGTGGCAGGTAGCTGTAATAACGAGTAACTTAGGGTAATTTTATTTTAGAAAAATGAAGTAATGTTATAAAATTCCACGCGCACGTAGTCGCGGGTACAGCTAGTGTTATAATATAAGTTTAATAAATTTACATTCCAGGTCTGATATGTTCTCAAATCAGCTCGACCAGCCCGCCGACCATGCGGCCCACAGAAGACGGCAACGGTTTCTATTTCTCAATGTTTTCTCACGTAAGTATTCTTATAACGGACTACCAATTCACCATTGGATGGAACTGGCAAGTCTTTTGAACATATTGTATTGTAATTGTTTCAAGCAAAGATTGTAACTGTTTCAAGACTGCCTTTGTAACTATTTTAAACAAATAAATAAATAAAACCAGAAAGCCGTTGATGGACAGTGATCTACAAATTATCTAATCTATCTATCTATATCTTGCATTCATTCATGGTATGGGAAAAGGCAGATTTTGTGTATTTACCTATGTTAGGTATCGTTTAAGTATATGTATTACTTAGAGAAGAATAATATACATATACCAACTTAAATACTTACTTTAATAGATACAATACATATGTATATATATATATTTATACTAGCTGACGCCGCAAACGTTGTTTTGCTATATAAATTAAAATCGCTATAAAATAATAGTGGTTGAAGTTAGAAGGGTGAAAATTTAGAATTGTATCTATGTAATTTCGAAATGCTACATAAAAACATCTCCAATAAATAAAAAAAATGTTAGGGGTTGATCTTATCACTTAGGGGTATGAAAAATAGATAGTAGCCGATTCGCAGAGCTACTGAAAATACATGTTAAATTTCTTAAAAAACGGTCGGCCGTTTCCGAGAAGTGTGGTAACTAACATAGTGATACGAGAATTTTATATATAAGATTTATAGATATATATTATGTCTAACAGTAGGTAGTATAATATATAGTATAATATAGTATAATATATTCTATAGTATAACACTACTGTTATACTATAGAATATATTGAATAAATAAAGGAATAAATTGAGTGTTAACTACCTACGTAGTTAACACTCAATTTATTCCTTCAGAACATAATCATAAAGTATTATTTTCAATGTAGGCTTACTTTCTTACTTTTATAATAATCTTTCTTTAATTCTATTTCGTTTTAGTTAAACAGAACTGAAACAGGTCCTTACAACATGGTGCGGGGAATAGACAACGTGAAGGATCTCGGTCACATATTAAGTTACAAAGAAAAGACATTCATGAACCACTGGGGCTCAGACCCCTACTGCGGGAAACTGAATGGGTCGGACGGGTCGATCTTTCCACCGATAGACGAGAATAATGTACCGAAACGATTGTATACGTTCCAACCTGATATTTGCAGGTATGTACGATTAAATTGGAGTAATATGAGACATACAAAGTATAGAATAGAATAGAATAGAATAGAACAGAACAGAACAGAATGGAATAGAATAATATTTATTACATCACACATCACAACACAACAATAACGATGCTCACATCAGCATATAAATTACTGGCTGTGCCCGTGACTTCGTTTGCATGGTTGTCAAAACTTTTATACATATTTTTTGGGTAACTTGAACCGTTTATTTGAGGGTTTCCGTTACGTGCGCCGCGTGAACGATTCAAGTTACCCAAAAATATATATGTCGTTAATATGAAGCCGTGGACACATCTAGTGACATACAAATAAAAATAATACGATACATTAAAACATATATCAAAACAATAATAACAAAGCAAAATATACATAGTTTTGTATGGCCTATCCACCACTGTGGAGCATCGTCACCGCGTCACTGTGTATTGATATAAGGGAAAATTAGTCTAACAGTAAAACAGCTGAGATGGGTTCAGCTGTTGTACTAGTAGACTTTAATTTGTAAATTATTCTGCCGTGGTCGGCAGATTCATTTAAAATTTATTTTACACGGAGCTCTTGTTATTTTCCATGAATCTATTTAATCGTTGATACGACACGACTCCAACATTTCTTTGATGTGCTTGATATAACTTGATCTTCCTCTTTCCTTCTATATAATTCTAGTTGACCTCCAGCTTTGCCTGCATCTCACTTACTTGACATTTAACATTATAATATTTCGCCCAATTTACATATCTTTTTCAATTATAGCCTATGTGTTATTCTAATGTATAAGCTATATTAATGTAAAGTTTCATAAATATCCGTTCAGTACGTTTTGCGTGAAAGAGTAACAACCATCCATCCATCCATAATCGCAAACTTTCGCTTTATAATACTAGTAAGATTCAAGACTCATAGAAAATTACTTACAAATTTCAGATCTATTCACGTTGATTTCGTGGAGAAAACAAGCATTTTTAACATAACAGCTTACCACTACGAGCTGTCAGAATCGGCGTTCGCGTCTAAAAGTGCTAATCCAAACAACAAGTGCTACTGTAAAAAGTGAGTACTATATGGTCTTTTCTTTTTAAAGGTAAGAAAGATACAGCTATTGCAGTCACGATAGTTTTTGTAGTGAAAGCTTCTTTAAATATGTTTAACACTTTTGGGATGAGCAAAAATCACTAAATTCGCATGACCATCATGCTCAAATACGAATATACTATATGGGTGTGTATATATATTTTAAAAAAATGTCTACGAAACAATACGGATGAAACATGGATGTAAGAAATTATCTGCAATCTTTACTATAAAACAAAGTCGGCAGCAATAGATAGTGATTCAGGAGGAAGGTTTATATGCATGCGTGTATAGAACATGCCGAACTTGCGTCGCCGGGACGGGTCACTATTTTTTTTTATATAGAACAATAAATATATTATTAAAAAGTAAATTAAGTTTGTTTAGATATAAATTATAATGGATGCTATTTTCCTTGAGATGGACCATATTTGGAGCCATTCATAAATAAAATCACGCAAATCAAATAGATCGAGTATAAACTCGCCAAGAAAACAATTTTAAAATACAACCTTATGTTTGTACAGATATAGTTGGAAATAGATTAGAAGTAGATTGAAATCTAGTTCTAATATATAAAATATTTCCAACATATGTTGTTCGATAATAGTACAAAATTATATGTTATATTTCAGGAACTGGAGCGGTAGCCATGACGGCTGTCTGCTGATGGGCGTATTAAACCTGATGCCGTGTCAGCAGGCACCAGCAATTGCTTCTCTGCCACATTTCTACCTGGCTTCTGAGGAGTTGCTCGAATTTTTCGCTGAAGGCATCAAACCCGATAAAGACAAACATAAAACTTACATACTATTGGAGCCGGTGAGTTTATCGACACATTGATAAATATTCTCACTTCTGTATTCAGAGACATTGTCATCTGTCTGTTGATGATGTAGATGATGATTGATATCACCATCATCATCATCGTCATCGTCATCCACATCAAGATATTAATCCGAATGGTAAACAACTGGTTGTCTAATATTATGGTGAACACATGACATGCCACATACCGCTCGCTATATTTAAATCTAACATGGTTTGTTGGTGTTCCCATTGCCGGAAGGTTAGTCAGAAATACAATTACACAAATCTGCCAGTTTATAACTTGGGTCCTATTGCACATGCAACCTAAGACTTGCAATTTGAACTATTCTATAGCAAATAATTCTTATTTAACAATCCATTTTAAATAAGAATCGTTAGCAACATTAAATAATTAAGACTTGGGTCATACAGCAAATTAACTAAAAATGTAATGTAATAGAACACAGGAGCAGTCTTGAAGGGAGTCCAGCGTTTGCAGTTCAACGTGGAATTGAGGCAGATGAAGATACCCCAACTGCAGAAAGTGCCCACAGGCCTATTCCCGATGCTTTGGATAGAAGAGGTAAAACAGTTATATATGGCAATAGTTGTTCACGCATGGGATTTCCATTTAATGTTAGACACCTATAACAGTACAAATAAACTGAATTTAAAAAAAAAAATCAGTTGAGGTTCTTGCCAGTTCTTCTCAATTGAATATGTATACTGAACTAGACGGTATCGAAAAAAAATTTAATTTAAAAAAACGGTCAAAGAGCAGTGAATAATGTTTTTAGATTCGATTTGATTTGAATCCAACAGTCATCGCCCAGTTTGTATGAAAATGCATTACTGTTAAAGCTGAGGTCATCAAATTTAAACATTATGTTTTTGCATCAACGGACTCGGTGGTCTAGAGGTTTAGCACAATGATTTATTTCGTCGCGGGTTCAATTTCTCGCATGGTTGAAACACTTGTATTCATGAGTATGATTGTTTGTATTAGTCTGGTTGTTTTCTATACATATTACGTATGTATTTACAAAGAAATGTATTCTATCAGTTGTCTAGTACTTATAGCACAAGCTCAGCTTCGCTTAGACACAAGGGCACAAGGGCTTGGGACTCATTTAGTCCCAAGCCCTTGTGGATTTTCCAGGGTTATTATTATTCCACAATTTACATATAATTAATATTTTTAGTGAAAACTAGGACGGGATTATAGCACCATATATTTTTTATAATTTAATTTATACTAGCTGTTCTCGCGATTTCGTCCGCGTGGAATTTAAATTAATTTTTCTCAAATAAAATATTTTTTCTAAAATAATAGTAGCCGAAGTTACTCATTATTACATTAGCTACCTGACAAAAAAAAGTCCTATCAAACAGAACAAACAGCCAGACAGACAGACAGACAAAAACTGTAAAATATGTTATTTTGGTGTATCTACCGTATTTATATTCATATGTACGTAGTAAAAAATGGTTATTACAATATTACAAACAGACACCCCAATTTTATTTATATGTATAGATTTTAACCATTCCTAATGAACAGGGAGGCCGATAATTATAGGTATGTTATTTTAATAATATTTCTGTTTGACAATATTTTTCAGAGCGCAGAAGTGCCGACCTCTATCCAAGATGAGCTTCGACAGTCACTCAACCTGATCGGATACGCAAACACAACTCGATGGGTGATATTAGCGCTAGCTATCATCGCGGCTGTCATAAGTACTATCATTGTAGCCAGAGCCACGCTGCCGGGCTGGGCCGGACGAAACTCTGTCAGCTTTATATTAAGACCCACCAATGTTAACGGCATAGATCTCAATAAAGGATAGATAGTATGCAGTTGTTTTATTACTTACTTTTAAAATTTCACCTTTAATACATATTTTACTACCTATAGCGGTTTAACACGCGGCCTTATTTCCAATCGTCGCAAGTTCGATTCCTCGAACTATACAAACATTTGTATTTATGAGTATGGCGGTTTTGGCTGAGTGTTTTCTATCATATCATGTAAGTATATATAAAATTATGTATATAAGTACTTCTGTCTATTGGTCAGTGCCCATAACATTATTCATATTCCATGAGCTTGGGATTAGATGGCGCTGTGTGAATTGTCCAGGGTTACAATTATTATTATTAATATTATTTGCCGGTTTATGGAGTTTCGACAGTCACTCAACCTGATCGGATACGCAAACAACTCGATGGGTGATATTAGCGCTAGCTATCATCGCGGCCGTAATAAGTACTATCATTGTAGCTAGAGCCACGCTGCCGGGCTGGGCCGGACGAAACTCTGTCAGCTTTATATTAAGACCCACCAATGTAAGAATAGATAGTATGCAGTTGTTTTATTAGTTACTTCTAATTACCTTTAATACATTTGACGGATTCAGTGATCCACCGGTTTACCACACCGTCTTATGTTACATTTACATTCAGCCGCTTCCCCTGCCACTCGCGCTGCCGGAAATATTGCCGCCTCAGCGTCGACAGGAGTCGACGCGAGTGAGTGTCGTTTACAGTCAGCACTCATACTTATTTACCGGGCGACTCTTCCTTACCTTCCGCTTAAAACGCCGTGCGACAACTGAGCGAGAGGGCTGAATGTAAACACACGCTGCCACTAGCGCTGCCAGTCTTTTGACTCGCGCACGAAAAACTTACAATCGAGGGAGCGCCGGCCAGCGCGAGTGGCAGCGGCCTTGGAATTGGAAGTATCGTGTTTACACTCTCGCGCTGCTCACTTCCCTGCCCACTCGGGCTGAGTGTAAATTGGGCTTTACTTCCGATGGCAGCAGGTTCGATGCAAACATTTCTATTTATGAGAATGGCAGGTTTGTTCGAGTATTTTCTAAGATATAATGTACGCATTTACAAAAAAAAGTATTTATGTCAATGGTTCCGTTACTATAAGATTATTCTATGCTTAACTTGGTGGCGCTGTGTAAATTGTACAGGGTTATAATTATTATTATTTGTCAATTTGTGTTATGGTAATTTTGTGTATATTAACATAATATATAGTATATATATGTATGTATTGGAATAGACTTAACGGAGCAGGACATTGATTGGGTAACTCGTGTTGGGCCTAGGTTCTCAAAGGCGACAAAAACTGACACCTCCAATGGTGAGAGTAAATTTCCACGGCCAGTTGTGCTGCGACTTTTACGCCGGTCAAAAAGAAACTCCTTAATTAAAGAATCAAAAAATCGACGAAATCTTACAAGCCATGATATTGACGTCACAGGTCCAAAGGAAACCGAAATTTATTTCGCGACACCAGAAAAAGATCAAAGGAATGCGGCTTTTTGTACTGTTGGTGTAGTAATGGAAATATATATGTGCGGCAACGGGAAGGCAAACCAGCAAAACATATTCGATCACAACAGGATCTTTTTCACATTTTTCCTCTGGATTCTGGTTTACAAACTAAGGAACAAACAGCATAATAATAAGTTTGAAACTGGGTATTGCAAATTTAAAGTGACTTATAGTAAAACTCCTCTTATCATTGTAAAGTTGAGAATGTTTACCTTTATGAATATCAATTGTTGTATTATATTTCAGTATTTGTATTTATTGTAATGTATATCTTTTATATTTACACTTACATATATTTATCATTCATTCAAGAGGCAATAATTTGCAATACTAAATTGTCTGTCAAGAGATCTCATCTACGTATATTCTGTTATGCTTTAATCTCCAATAGCGGATTAAAACTGAAATGTCGAGTTCATACGATATCAACAAATTTTCATTATTTATACTTAAACAATACAGGACATTACAGATAATTTAGAAGAAATAAACATTAAATGTTACCACATTTCTGAACTTGAAAATTGTAATAAATTATTTGCCGCTAAAAGAAGTTTTAACATATTAAATTTTAATATACGTAGCATAAATAAAAACTTTGACAATTTCATAATATCTTTCCATAGACTAAATATTGAAATCGATGTTATTGTTTTGACGGAATGTAGACTTATGGATGTGCCAGTGGTACCACACATACCTGGATATGATTCACACAAAACTAATAAAATAATTAATCAGAACAGTGGAGTGGTAGTATACATAAAAAGCACTTGGAACGCATCAGTTTTAGAGCCAAATTTCAGAGAAGCTGATTGTTTACTAGTAAATATTCCAAATAGTGTATCAATATTTTGTATTTATCGTTCTCCTTCATTTACAAATACAGATATTTTTATAACTGACTTACATCAAAATCTTGAAAATCACAAAAAAGAAACTACTCTAGTTGTTACTGGCGACATTAATATAAATCTGTTACAAAATGGTAGAATTACGAACAGTGAATACATGTGTCTTAATGCTGAATATAAACTATTGCCGGTAATAACTATCCCAACGAGAAATAATGCTTGTCTCGATCATATATTCATAAAAACAAATAAAGTTTCTTTCGGCATTGTATGTACATGTGATGTGACAGATCATAACATGGTTCTTGCTGGAATAAATTTAGAAATACCAAAACAGAAGAGTATGAACAAAGAAAAAGTTCAAATTAATGCTGAAGCGATAAAGCAAGATCTTGCCGAAATAGACTGGTCAATAGTAACTAATATAGAAGATGTCAATGAGGCAGTCACAAATTTCGAAAACTGTTTGAAAAACATTATTAACGTTCATACCCGCAAAGTTAAAGTAAGTCGCTCCAAATTCAGTATTAAACCCTGGATTACTCCAGGTATTATACGCTGTATAAAACACAGAGATAAGCTTCATCAACGGGCTACCAGGAATCCACAAAACTTAATAATACAAACAACGTACAAAAGATATCGTAATTTTTGCAATAACCTTTTACATAGATTGAAATCGAAATTTGAAGAAGAACAATTATTAAAAAATAAAGGTGATCCTAAGAAACTGTGGAATACAATAAAAAACATTTGTGATATTCAAACACACAAGAAAGAATCAACAGAATTATTATACATAGAAAACTCAATTGACGAAAAGACATCACTTGACATGTGCAATATCCATTTCTCAACCACTGGTAATACACTTGCAAATAATATTTTAGAAAAGTTAAAAGAAAAAGAGGAGAACTTGATGCCTAAAATGGATGGCGTATTGGGATCTTTTTTCATGGCTCCGACTGATGAATTTGAAATAGGTGACCTAATTACTCAGTTAAAAAATGATAAATCTCCTGGAATTGATGGAATAACCAATAGTTTAATCAAAACAATAAAGGAATTCATTTTAACACCTCTAGTACACATTTATAACCTTAGTTTTGTATCAGGTATCTTTCCGGACTCTTGGAAAACAGCTTTATTATACCCAATTCATAAAGGAGGCTGTAAATACTCTCCAGATAATTACCGCCCAATAGCACTACTTGGAACTTTCTCAAAATTACTGGAGAAACTTGTCAACAAAAGATTAGTTAAATACCTTGAAAACCAAAATCTGCTATCTCCTAAACAGTTCGGTTTTAGATCAGGAAAGTCCACCGAGGATGCCGTGTCTCTACTTATTACAACTATCACCTCCAAACTTGACCAAGGATTACAATGTGTAGGTGTGTTTTTGGATTTGGCTAAGGCTTTTGACACAGTGTCTAATAAACTGCTTCTAAAAAAACTGGAAAAGTCAGGTGTCAGAGGTTTAGCATTAAATTGGTTCAGCAGCTACTTAAACCACAGAAGGCACTGTCTAAGGTTGGGACAGTTCACAAGTAATACCCATACCACAAATTTCGGAGTACCGCAAGGTAGCATTCTCGGCCCCACACTATTTATATTATATCTAAATGATATACATAATATTAAGTTAGAAAATAGTGAAATGATATGTTATGCCGACGATACAGTCTTACTGTTTTGGGACAAATCATGGGAGAGTGTTTACTCAAAAGCCGAAAGAGGAATGGCTCAAATAACCAAATGGTTAGATTGGAATCTTCTAACTATCAATATTAAAAAAACAAATTATATTTGTTTCCACAAAACTAGAATGTCAGCACCGCCTTTAGGGTTGCAAATTAAAATTCACAATCAATGTTTGAATAACGTAGCGTGCGACTGCCAATGTATAAACAAAGTTTATGACACAAAATATCTCGGAGTGTATATTGACCAAAACATTAACTTTAAAAAACATATCTCAATGACATCAAACAAAATTCGAAACATAACTCATGTGATGCGTAAACTACGAGAGTCGGCTAACATAAATACACTCATGACTGTTTACTATGCCCTCTGTCACTCTGTGTTGTCGTACTGCATCATCTGCTGGGGAGGTGCAGCCAAGTCAAGCATGATTGAAGTCGAAAGAGCCCAAAGATCAGTTCTTAAAACAATGCTGAAAAAAAGATATAGGTATTCTACAACTAAGTTATATAAGGAATGCAAAGTACTTAGTGTTAGGAAACAATTTTTGAGGAAAGTGACTTTAGTCACTCATAAAGATGTACTGAATTCCACCAAATATGGAAACCTGTTAAAAAAAAGAGTTTTTCAGATACCCCTGCCTATGGTACAGACAACCTTTGCTAAACGTTTTAGCCCATATATAGCTGTAAATTTATATAATAGAATAAGCAAGTCATGTGATATAAAAAAATGTTCTCTAGCTCAAGCCAAAATAAAAATAAAACATTTTTTAATAAGTCTGGACTATGATCAATGTGAGAAATTGTTTCAAACCGAATTTTAATTACATAAAGCCTCAGTAGTACTTAATATGTGTATATCTATTGTATGTATTAATATATTTTATATTTATTACTATTTATAGATATTTATTTATTATATATATACTTTGTAATATAACGCCATAAGTGTTGCATGATATTGTTAAGTTATTTCATTAAAGTCAGCCGAGCACCTAACATCAATTATGTGTAATGATCTCCTCTGAACCACACGATACAGACTTGCATGTCTAGTGTGTGGTTCGCAGTAATGTGTATTGAATGTAAAAGTGTTTTATTGGCCAATAAAGTTATTATTATTATTATTATTATTATTATATCACTCTGGAGCATATTTATGTTCAAACTTGTTGCAGAAATAAATAAATATTCATTCATTCATGCACCACATAATGTAATAATAATAATAATCTCAAGACACTTCACTCAGCGCGATCTAGACCCAAGTTTAGCTAGCTAAAGCTTGTGTTATGGGTAACTAGATAACTAATACAAATACATAGATTTTTTTTCGTCAATACATACATATTATACATAGAAAACACCCAGACCGATACAAACAATCATACTCATGAATACAAATGTTTGTGCCGTGCGAGGAATCGAACCCGCGACCATCGGACGTTAAGCGGTGTGCTAGACCGCTAGACCACCGAGGTCGTCATATGTAATGTATAATAACATATAATTGTAATGTACATTCCAAAAAGTGCGAGATTTTTCAAATGTGTATTTTTTCTCTTTACAATCTTAATATATTATACACATATTAACGGACCCAGCAGTCCGGATAAACAGTGTAAACCACCCAAGAAACATTCTAATATACATACAAAATTTCATCCAAATCGGTCCAATCGCTTTTTAGGAATTAGATGACAAACAAACGCACAGAATATATCTTATGCAACAGAATAACATTGCGTATATTTTATATTGAAACTTAACGCGGGTGAAACCGCGGGGCTCAGCTAGTTAAGACATAAAATAAAAAAATACCATAGATACAGTATTATAATTGTTTAATCACTATCTGAGTAGGTTCCCCTGCCGCTGGAGTCATTGTCGCTCATTTCCATCGCCTCCGCTTCATGTTTGGGTCTCATCTCTCCAACTGTCTTTATACACCGAATTGTGTATTTGTTGAAATCACATCTGCAAAACACAATATGTTAAAGATAAGAAATAATCTTTACACTTCGCAATACAGATTCAGCCAAGAATGGATAAGAAACTTTTCATAATTTTGTTTAAAGTAAAAACAAATTATTAAATGTGGCTATACTAACATTAAAAAAATGAATGAATATTTCACTTCACATTTAACAAAATATATATATTTATTTATATAGATTAACATTTACATTTGTATATAGATTTACATTTACATATTTACTACAATACAATTTTTTATATATTTCTATTATCTGTAGTAGGTCAGGCCTGTATCTTTGGGGGCTGGGAGCGCGGATACCAAAAATATGCAGTATATGTACACTTCAGTTCACTATATTACATATATTTTATACTAGTTTTTTCCCGCGGTTTCGCTCGCTCGCCGTCCTTAGAGGTGGAATTTATCAAAATCCTTTCTTAGGGGATGCTTACGTCATAGTAGATTTTCATGCAAAGTCTCAGCCCGATCGATTTAAAATTGACAAAGTTTCATACAAACTTTCATCCCCTAATTTATCCCCTTGGAGGTAGAATTAATCAAAATCCTTTCTTAGCGGATGCCTACGTCATAACATCTATCTGCATGCCAAATTTCAGCTCGATCCGTCCAGTGGTTTGGGCTGTGCGTTGATAGATCACTATGTCAGTCACCTTTGAGTTATATATAGATAGATAACAACACATACTTTTTTAAAATTGAATAGAAATATTCAATCATGCATTCAATTTTTTTATAGATTTTATAGATTAATTATAAATTGATATGATATATGTGTATTGATATATGGATATGTGTATATTTGTATATCATATCAAATATATTTAAACATCTAGTGTCAAGCTAATCAGAGCTTGTGTTATGAGTACTAGACAACTTATAGAATACTTAAATACATTACACAAGTTTTTTTTGTAAATACATACATAATAAACATAGAAAACAACACCAATACAAACAATCGTACTCATGTTTGTACCGTGCGAGGAATCGAACACGTGACCATCGGAAGTAAAGCGGCGTGCTAAACCGTTAGATCAGGCCGTCAATAATAAAATATATGGAAACTCCTCTTACATTTAACAGCGTAAGGCCTTGTTTCAAGTTACTTCACTCATGTACTTAAAACTTAATATTGTAAACGTGTCTGAGTACGAAATGTCGTACTAAAAAACTGAATTTTTCTTTCCAGCTCGCTACAATATGTTTTATAAGATCATATAAAGGAATGATACCATAAAGTCATAATAGCTACTACAGACACAGAAATGTGAAGATTATAAAAACGTTGACGTTTATTTCTTTTTTTTATGTAAATGGCAAACAATCTAATGGCCCAGCTGATCAGTTACGAGTATGTATGAACAGTGGGCTAATTATGTAACTTCGTTCGCAACGTTTTTCGTATGTAACGTAGTGAAAATGACGTCATCTGTCAATAATGCGATCATATAGACGCCATTTGACGCTGTCAACTAGCATTGCAACGTAAACGCAACTTTACATATCGATAAAAATTATTTCTATCGAATGTCGATTTAGTAACCTCGTTGCAACGTCACGTAATCGCTATTTTGCCGAAATGACAGCGTGGAATTGAAACGGTTTTTACATTATGAGAAACAATTTAGAAGGTGTTTCTTTTGGTTACAATCTTTAAAATATCAGCATTAGCAGCATTATTTATCTTGTTTTGGTAATTTTCAGTATTACATATATTTTTATTATATTAAATATTACGTAGAAAGTCGTGAAAAGGTTTTAAATTTATTAAAATGGGAAAATTGTCACGACTCACAACACGACATCAGTGTTGCCAATTCGATATTTTATTTTCGTCCCAAATCACATAGAATGTTGTATTAACTAGAGTAAATGTTTAATATAAAATTAGGGTTGATTATGATATTAATATAATTAAAAAACTATTTCAATGAATACGGTGCTCTGTGAACGGAATACGTTTATGATGCTCTGTGATTTGTTTAAAGTAAATAAATTTATTTGTTTAAAGTTTTTACAATTATGTACAAATTTAAAAAGATGTGCCCATATCATTTTAAATTTATATGGATACCTACGTACTTACCTAGGTATCTATAGCACAAAAGAAAATTTAATTTGTAGGTTAGATTAATATTATTAATGATTATAAATAGTTTGTATAAAATATGCTTTTATATTCAAAATTATTAACCTTATTTTTTCATTAGAATAGAATAGACTTTCTTTATTTTATTTTATTAAATGTCTATTAATAAAATTAAAATAAAAGAACAAGTGAACGCTGCAGTATATTTTGTAATTTTTGAACGCAATAAAAATTGTTTCAAATCAACCAACTAGTGTAACAACCCAATAAATTAAAATGTATCCCTCTAAAGGTATAAGCTATCTAATGTACTGACTTTTTAAATTGGTCGGATTAACAATATTCCGCTGCAACTTCAGAGTAGTGTTTTATCGATAGAAATGATTTATGTTGCGGTCATTCGACCTTACTTGATCGCATTTTTTAAATTGAAATGATTTCATATTGCATCACAACTTCAACAGAAACAATTTCATATCGTGTTACATAATTAGCCCACAGGTCTATGGACATCACGTTATTATGTGACGGCCCTGATTAGACATTCCAAAAGCCTAAAGTGTTACGAACTACATTTCGCATACCGTTTAAAAATTCTGAAATTGTTACGGTATTTTACTATTATGTCATTTTTTTTAATAGATGATAATGGAAAGGTTCTCTCTCCTGCACTAACTGTTTACGCAGGCGGGGCACCAGTGGAGGATGATAAGATATTAATTTATTAATTGTGTACACTTTTCAATGATTATAGATAAAATGTTTTTACAGTAATCCCTGCACTAAACTCAAGGCTTGTGTCGCAGGAATCAGAAATATTTAAGTACACAAACTTCAACTTAATACAGGCCAGTTCGGCTAGGTACAAACCTAGCCAATACCTTTACACAAAGTAATGAGAATTTACAATGTCCTATTACAAAAATCACTCATCAGTTGACATATGTAGTGATAGTTATTGGAAATTCCATAAATATCTCAATAGTTCCAGTCAAATCAGTACTGTAAACTATTTTTATATATTTTTAACAATAAATTTGTGACGTCATATGTTTTATTAATTGTAAGCAGAAATTTTTGATATAAATATCGTAGTTGCCTATAATTAAGGCGCTTAGTATTTCATATATTGTTAAGTAGTTGTATTGGCGTAAACCTTGTTGGTGATGTAAGAAATCTAAATATATATATATATAACTCAAAGGTGACTGACATAGTGATCTACCAACGCAGAGCCCAAACCACTGGACGGGTCGGGCTGAAATTTTGCAGGTAGATGTTATGACGTAGATCCGCTAAGAAAGGATTTTGATTAATTCTACCCCCAAGGGGATAAAAAAGGGGATGAAAGTACTGTAAAGCCGCAAAAACTATACCTAATAATAATACTTCTTAAAGCGAGCGAAGCCGCGGGCAAAATCTAATTAAAAATAATTTTCATAAAAGAACAATAAAAAGAATAGAAACTTAAAGGTCAGGTTTTTATTGTTCTATTATGAAAATTATTTTCCGATGTAATATATGTATATATTTTTAATTGACAAAATACTAATGAATCTGTAGTAATTAATGAAATAAATTTGTAGTAGTAATTCACTAGTAATTTGTCAACATATAGTACATAAGAAAATAATTTTCATAGTAGAATAATTAAAAAAATAGATGAACTTGAAGTCAGGTCTAATAGTGCATCGTGATAAATTAAATTAAGTAAGTAATTTATCATGATAGTTTCCAGGTAGACATATTACGCCGACCCCAAATAAATGGGATAAGGAAGAAGCAAATGATGAGTTTCCAGTGGGACCCGAGTGGAGGTCACCCTGACCCAGTACATTGATGAATGAGATGACAATGTTCTAATAATAACTATCGATAGACTTCTGACTACTGATATATACCGAAATTGTAGTGTATACAGGAACCTCGGCTACTCTTGGCCTTATTACTATTATCAGCACAGATACCGTTTTATCAATGGTCCGCGGTACAATCAATCATGATAACAACTCAGGTACGCTATACTGAATTTTGCGAGACGATAACTCGTTTTGTAATAATTTTAGTATTAAATAACTACATGATGTCATTTGAATGTCTTTGCTAAATTGTATCCAATAGAACATAAAACCAGAGAGTTTTCTCTGGTATCTAATCTTAGTACAGATTTCAATGCAATCCATTTTTGTACGGTTCTTTTCAAACGTAATCAAGATTAAATCGTGTAAATTGATAACAGTCTTATAGTTTTAACTTATTATGATATATACAACAATATCTGAATACATAAACACCTCATACATTGAATTATCCTGAGATTAATAATAATACATGTCGTTTAACTAAAGTTAGTAATTCGTTTTATGGTAATTGCGTAAGGTTTTACAACAAAATTCCAGAGTCTGTTATAAATCTTCCTGAAAAAAGATTTAAATGACACTTACTTTGCAAAAAAGCTTATAAAATTGAAGAATTCGTTAACGATAATAATGTTTTCATAGAAAAATTTTAAATCCATAGCGCTGACTACATTATCTGATTATACTATGAGTGCGTAGCTATTTCTATGTTGATTATCGCATGCCTCTTACTTGTTATACTGTAATTATTTATATAAAAAAATCTATTAAAAAGAGCAACACACAAGTTTCTTGCTCATTCTTCTTGTGATGAATCTGCATTCCGAATGAGTGGTAGAATCAAAACATGCCTACTCAAAAGTGCTTGTAATGAGTTTATTTGATTAAAGATTATTTCTATTTCTATTCTATATCTCAGAACAATTCACACAGCGGCATCTAGTCCCAAGCTAATCAGAGCTTGTGTTATGGGTACTAGACAACTGATAGAATACTTAAATACATTAATTACACATGTTTCTTAAATACGTAGAAAACACCCAGACCAATAGAAAGAACTACATACATTCATGAATACAAATATATAACAATATTGCATGTCTTTGTTTTCCTACACGTATGTATGGCTGATATAGTTAACACGTTATCCTATAACATTTTTTAAGTTTACTGTAAGAAATCTCTTTATAGAGATAAGCTCACCTTTGTATGCTACTATACATTTATCATAATACTTATTGTTTACGTAAAACAATTATCATAAAACAATTTAAGATCTCTATGATGTAATGATAGCGGCTTAATAAAAAAATATTATTATTATTTGTAATTTGCTGTTCCTGTGTGTGAAATGAAGATTAAGGTAATTATTTTAAGGAAGATGTTACATATGGATGTGGATCGTTCAGCCTCTGCCCTTAGCAGAGGAAGGCCGAAAAAGAGGATGGACTGTGTGGAAGATGATACGGTAATAAAGGGAGTAAATAACGAGATGACTGCGAACAGGGATGAATGCAATAGAAATGTTACTCCAACCCCAAATAAATGGGATCATTAAGAAGCAGATGGCTAAAGAATTTAAAACAGTGGTTCGGGATTAGCACCAGATTCCTGTTCAGAACAGCGGTGGACAAAATTAATATCGTCAGGATAGGATATGGTGACCAGTAAAAAAAATTATAAAGGCCAACTTACATTTTGCTCAACTGCGAGTACTTAACGGTGAGTACTTTCTCCAACGCGAGCAGTACATTTGGTGGTATCTTCCTCTTCCCTGACAACGCTGCCTTCACCCACAATAGAAAGTGCTCGAGATGGCGACTGTCTTCTAGAAGTCGCGCTATTGACTCTAGAAGACGACTATTGTAGTCCTCTTCTAAACTCGTTACCGTAAGTTCAACTGAAATGATATTTTTATTATGACTCTGGACTATAGTTATAAACCCGTTAGCTACCGTTATTTAACCTGTATGGTTAGCTAATGACAAAATGCGGTTATTAACGGTTAAGTTATCCGAATGCGACAAAGAAAAAGAGTAAAAATCTGTCTTTTTATTAGACCTTCCTGTGATCTACTTTCCGAATAAGCGGTAGAATAAAATAATAAAATAAAATCTATTCAAAACTGAGTCTTATTTATTTTTTTAATAAAAATAGGTTAAATGAACCTATTACTATACAATGACTCGCCAAACTGCACACCTATTTGTTGGAAAGATATTTTAGTTTTTTTAATACTAATACTTACCTAGATACATCTATATACGTAAATACATTAACTTAACGTATTTACGTATATAGATGTATATGTATACGTTAACTTAAGTTGAATAAATATTAATTATATATATCTGAATAATATTATAAACGCGAAAGTTTGTGAGTATGGATGGATGTTTGTTCCTCTTTTACGCAAAAACTACTGAAGGGATTCTGATAAAACTTTACATTATTATAGTTTCGACATTAGAATAACAAATAGGCTATAATTTAAAAAGATACGTAAATTGGGCGAAATATAATGCAAAATGTCAAGTAAGTGAGATTCAGACAAAGTTCTGAGGTCAGCTAGAACTAAATAGAAGGAAAGCTATATTAGCTAATGCATCAGAATAACACATAGGCTATACATTAAAAAGATATCATGTAATTTTGGCGAAAAATAATTATATATGTCAAGTAAGTATGTGATGCAGATGATGTCAGCTAGCTTATAATATTATAAGAAACTTACTATCAGAAGGTGGTATGGATTCAATGCACTCCTGTATAATAGTGAGTTCGTTCAGTTGTATTGCGCCGAGTAGTGCGTTCCCCCAGGCTTTCTCTCGCAGATGCTGCTTCACCATTTGAGGAGTAGAACCTGACTCCAACCGATAGGGCCTGTTAATTATTAATTCATTGTTAGAAATAGAAAAAAGTAATGCAAATGGGTTATAGTCCGTAGTTTAATTTGCTTAAATATGTACTAAAATAAATAATAAATTTTTACCAATATTTTTCATTGTTATTTAGATTAATTTGGATTGTTAGTTATGTGGTCTGATGACAAGTGTGCAATATTTCATGCTTGTCGAGTAAATACCGCGCAATTTTCGTAAAAAGGGTAAACAATTTTTGCTTATGGTATGAATATATAAATTATAAATAGGACAGTGAGTCTAGTAGTAAACTCTTACGGCCTTATTACAAAAGATAAACCTGGTTTAGCACTAGTAATAAACCATTCACCAATGTATTCCTTATTACAAAATGAAGTTTATCTCTAAACCGTGATTCGTCTATGGTCTAAAGTTAGACCTGCGATGCCCCTAGTTTAACAGTGGTCTAAATGCAAAAAATCAAACTATTTTAAAAATTGTATTTTAATTTGTTGTTTTTCGAAAAATATTTTAACTAAATTAAAAATATATTAACTAAAAATATTTAAAGCTAATTTTACGATAATAAAAATATATAAAAGACGTTATTTGTTAATTTTTCACTCATTTGACTTTGAAATAGTCACCATTCGCATCGATCCAATAAAAATATCCCGCCGTTCCTTTTCTCCGTATAGATAGATAGATAGATAGATAAGTTCTTTATTCAACCATTACAAACACATAGCATACATGAGATACATTTTATAAATAGAAATAAAGTTTACAGATTAAATAATACAGAAATATAATATTACAAAATAAAATAAAAATGGAGGTGGCTTTATGTGTCGCAATGATGAAGAGGCAACCAACTCAGCATGAAGCTACAGATAAGTCTGCAGCGCTGATATTCTGTTGGCTCCTATAATTAAATACATACATATATACGTGAATGTTTATATATTACACTTCGAGCTCTTAAAAAATTATACTATTACAAAACATTATACAATATACAAATAGATTAAAAATGAAGTGGTGTGTTATGTATACATATATTGTTAACCTATAGATACATACTACGTACATAAATAATAGTTGTTGCATATACAAGGTCGCTGGCTAAACGCGCCGTGAGTCAGACATTATTGTTCCTGACCATGCTTACCGACTTCGGTCGTTGAAAAAAAGACTCCTCAGATAAAGGACCTCCTATTTAAAGTCAGTTGTTCAGACAATAAGTGTTTTTTTAAAAGGTTTTTAAAATTCACTTTAGTTTTTATATTACGAATAGGAGGAGGTAAGTTATTCCAACACTTGGAGGCCATATATCTGAAACTGCCTCTGAAGGCAGTAGTCCGATGTGCTGGAGTCACTAGTCGATACAACGAAGCCCTGGTTTTAAAAGCATGCTGATTGCCAGACCACACAAGTTTTCTATAAAGGTAATCAGGCATTTTGGATTCAATGACATCAAACAACAAAGTCGCAAAATAAAGGTTGTAACGTGAAGACATATTTAGTAGTTTAGCATTATTGAGATAAGGAGAGACATGACTACGCGGTGGTATACGGAAGCAAAAACAGGCGCATGCATTTTGTACACGTTGGATAAGCCGCCGTGATCTAGCTAGTGTACATGAACCGAAAACAGCTAAACCGTAACTCAGCTTGGACAATATCAGAGAATCGCACAGTCGAACACGTAGATCAGTTGAAAGATAATTTCGAATTTTGTATAATATCTTTAGTCTGTAGAAGCAATTCCCCACACAATCTAGGACATGGTTTTCGAATTTAAGACCAGAGTCCATTAGTAGACCCAGATTGCGCGTTTCAGTTACTTGCAACAGAGGTGTACCTTCTACTGTTATAACTGGTGTTTGATTTTTAATTTTTTGTACCTGCAATTTAGAACCCAATATCATGAATTTCGACTTAGCCGGATTCAAAACAAGAGAATTTTTATTACACCAGTTCGATATACGGAAAAGTGTTGAGTTCAATATTCTAACCGCCATGTTTGTATCTTGAGGATTTATAGACATGTAAACTTGTAAGTCATCCGCATATTGGTGATATAAACATCCTTCACAGTATCTAGCAATGTCAGCACTATACAGAATGAATAAGAGGGGACCCAGAATTGATCCCTGCGGGACTCCTCGCGTCAATAGTCTAGGTTTGGAATATAGTAGAGTGCCGTTGTTCTGTGTTACAATGTATAGGACAAGAAATGTATAGGACTCCTACTTGTAATTTAAAACTGATTTTCAGCCTAATAGTACATTAACAAATATTATATATTAATGAAATAGTTATAATGAATAGAATAGATATAAATAGATAAATAGAAATAAATTTATTTTTAGTTTATACATTTTTATTTGAAGTAATATTATTTTTGATCTTTTCATATTTCTGGTAAAACGGAACGTAATTGTACGCTAACAGACATGAGTGACTGATTTCTGTATGGAATACATAATGAACGATTTAACTGTAGTACTAAGTAGTCCTCTGTTAGATCTGGATTCGTAATAATGTTAGGTTTATTCCAAGTATTAACTTTAGGAATGGTTTAAACCACGACCATTTAGACCACGTTTCGTCCGAGTTTTAACAGATTTTTTGTAATAAAATCGTTAAAGTCTAAATGTATCTAACATTTGAACTCACCTAAATGTACCGTCGATGCCAGCATTTTGGCTGTAGAGCAGGAGACCTTCGGTGGTTGCGACGGCGAAACTCTCGCCGGTCGGGGAGAAACGAATGCAGTACACTCTTACCTGAACAGACAGACATGTATAGTCCACATTTATATATGTGTAATTGTTACGTACGAATACAATAAACGCCTTATCATGTAGTTCGTCTTATCTACACAGAAGTTTTTTGCTCTGTGGTTTAAATAGTCTATACAATGATTGTTTCATAATTTAAGAGCTACGCTTTGGTCGGTGAAGCTCTAGCCACTTTCCACGATCTTCCATCATGCTCTTTAAATATTGATACGAGACAACTCCCATTTTGTAATAGTCCAATAGTCTATATTATAAAGTATTTGTTATTAAGAATATATATGTGTAGTAAGATACAAATAAAAAATCTTATCTGTATATCTATCTACACTCTATTATTATCTACTCTACTGTTATAATTTTATTGTTGTATGTATATTAGCTACTCGCACTGGGGTACATGTAATATATATATAAATTTTCCTCTTGAAACACTATCTATTTCTAAATACTGCATTAAAATCTGTTGCGCAAGTTAAAAGATGTAAGCGAACAAACAGCCTAGGCGACTTCATTTTATACTGTGTAAAGATATTGGTAAACAGAATTGACAGAACTATACTAGGACTACAGAGATTTGAATGATTGTCAAGATGTGTACAAGTGTTCTTGTACAATTTCGTTTAATTATTCAGGCGGATTTAGAACAGAATCTGGCAGTTTGTTGTAAAACCTTATGCAATTACTAACTTTAAACGGCATTTAGATAAAACTAGTTTGTTATTAGTATTAGTATCTATGTATATAAATGAAATTGAAGTGTCTGTTTGTAATATTAAAATAACCATTTTTTACTACATGCATATGAATATAAATACGGTACATACACCACAATAACATTTTTTAGAATTTTTGTCTGCCTGTCTGTCTGTTTGTTCCGGCTAATCTCTGAAATGGCTAGACCGATTTTGACGGGACTTTCTTTGGCAGGTAGCTGATGTAATAAGGAGCAACTTAGGCTACCTTTATTTTAGAAAAATAAAGTTAAATTCTACGCGGGCGAAGTCGCGGGTTCAGCTAGTTTTATATACAACACTTACCTCCGGCTTTACACTCCTGTCAGCCATATCGCCGTCCTTGACGCCGGGGAGACGAATGGCAACCTGCCCACCTTCCAGCTCTGTCCTCTCCTCAATCAGAGCCATATTACCGAACTCTGTCATTAGGCGCCGGTTTACGAAATCCTGCAATCAAATTTATTATATACATGACTTGATCTAATTGTATCTCCCTTCTCTTTCAGCATATCTGACTAATGTCAATTGTATATTAGTCTAATTGTATATTATGTATTTATTTAATACTAGTGGTGCCCCATTGGTTGAAAATCGACTATAATCAATTTAAATTACGATTATGTTTGTGATTCTATAAGTCTATAGACAAATAATATTAAAGACAAGCAATATTAATAAAAAAATTGATTTTAGGTATTTATTATGATCTAATTTTATATTATGTATTTATTTAATCTAGTGGACCATAATTCATTTAAATTATGTTTGACATTCAGAAAAGAGTATAGACAAACAATATTATCTATTCTCAATTTGTAGTCTTCAACAATGAGCAAAAGAGTGTACGTGTTTTGTCAAAAACATGGTAGTATGTATAGTTTTTTTATTTATTTCAGGTATTTTTATGATCTAATTGTATATTATGTATTTATTTAAACTAGTGGTGGTACATTGGTCTAAAATCGACTATCATCAATTTAAATTATGATTATGTTTGAGATTCAGTAAACCTATAGACAAATTATATTAAAAACATACAATATTAATCTCAATTTGACTACACATCTTAATAATAGACTTAAGAGTCTGTGTGTCAAATACATGGTAAGGTGTATAATGTTATTTTTATTGATCTAATATAATTTCTATGTATAATTAAAAAAAAACAAATTTACTCAACTCGAGTTTCTTAACTTAAAGTAACCCTTTCTCTCCGGGCCATTTAAATGCAATGCTAGATTTAAGTGCCAAATTTAATGAAAAAATGAAATTCTTTAAATAATTGTTTTATCACTAAATTAAATTAATAGATTAATAAGTAAATAGAAAAATCTTTATTAAAATTATGTTTTTATGTACAACTAGATTTTGTAAATTTACTTACTGTGTTTCATTAACAATTTCCTAATGATACCTTCCTCTAACCTATCATTTAAGTGATTTTTTTTAATATTATAAATTATGTATGTTACATAGGGGGCGTATGCATTTTAGAAATGCTAAAAATGTTAGGAAACACTGATTTTAAAACGAATATCGCAATCTTGCCCATGAACAAATTACACAAAATATATACTTCTTAATCGTTCCCTCACTGCTGAGGATCGCGACTCTACATTATCTTGTCGACCAGCTGTCGCCATCGGTTGCGCTCAGGCGCCTGGTGTAGTGCAGCGCTGACAGTATGTATACAAAATGTATACATGGCGAACTTAATGCCTGATGACATTCTCTACCAGTCAACCGTCGCGCTGATCTGATAATAAACCAGTTAAGTGAAATAAACTCACGTTGACTCCATCCAACGATCTATTCTGCGTGATGACGAATTGTTTGATCAGTATCGCTTCCCTCACACTGTACAAGCATATGTTCTTAGAGTTACCCCCGCCGAGCAGACATCTGCCGTCCGCTGAGTAGCATATAGTTGTAAATGCTCTGTAGATAAATATTAATTGTAGTCATATAAATAATTATTTACAATTGGAGGGAAGGGAATTTGTCACGATGGGCTAAATGACCTGACCTCATGTTCATCTAATCATCCTCCACTGGTCCCCGCTAGCGTAAATCGTTAGTGCAGGCTGGTACACAGTTCCATTATCATCGATGAAAAAAATACAAAAAAAATACGATTTCTTGCACATATGGAATAGAATAGAAAAATAGTTAATAAAAAACCCAGGACAATTAACACAGCGGCATCAAATCCCTACTTGACAGCCTCGTGGCGGTGGTGGCGGTATAGCAGGTCGCCGTTTTTCTGATGGTCCAGGATCGATACCTAGCACGGTGCAAAAATTTGTATCCATGAGTATGATTGTTTGTATCAGTCTAGGGTTTTTTATTATGTATATATTTACAAAAAAATATCTAAATTTTTATATCAGTCGTCTGGTACCGTCTGGAACCGTCTGGTTCTGCTTACCGTGGGACTAGATGGCGCTGTGGTAATATATAATGTGGTAATATCCAGGTTTTAAAAAAATGTCATAAACTGTAAACTCACTTGGATTTGAGATTAGTAGCAGCGGTAATAAGATCGGTATCACTTCGTCCCGCACCGAGGTCGTTACGACCTTCTATACTACCCGTCTGCTCGCTCGACGTTGTGTTGAAGAAGGTAATGTTACCGTCCAATGTTGAGACTGCAATCTGAAAAAATTTAATACACTTTTAATTAAAAGGAGAAACAGAGTAAGTAACACACAGATGTGTTACTTACTCTGTACTATGTATACCTCTATGTTACTATTTTCACCCTTCTATCTTGATTATAGAAAAGTTAGGGTTAAAAAATACGTACAACCCTAACTTTTCTATAACAAAAAAATAAAAGAATGTTAGGGGTGGACAATCTTATAACTTAGGGGTATGAAATATAGATAGTAGCGGATTCTCAGACCTACTGAATATGCATATAAAATTTCATAAAAATCGGTCGGAAGAGTATGGTAACTAACATTGTGACAAGAGAATTTTATATATAAGAAGACACAATAAGTTTACCTGGATATCATTGAAATTACAGAAAATTTATTTAAAAAATACTATTCAATAGTTGCTTATTTTGATTACATAATAAAATACATCAAATCAATACAAAGGGATATAAAGATCTATGTTCAAAGAATGAAAACAGAACCATCGCACGAAAAGACAGTGTTTTAAACTACTACACAACTGAGGTTTTTCTGCAAATATTTAATTTACATACCTCTTCTCCATCAGGCCTGAAGACGACCTGCAGCGCATCCGATGAGAGCTGTATGGTCTCACATTCAGAGCTGGTCTCGATGCAATCCCACAGTCGGACTGTCTTGTCCCAGCTGGCGGACGCAAGGCGGGAACTTGTCAGCGTGGGGCTGAATGATAAACTGGATACTGGCGCTTCATGACCTCCTAGTACCTGTACACGATATATGGCAAGGCGATTTATTTATTTATTTGGAATGCAAGTTACGTAGATTAATAAATACAGGACAATATTGTTGTATAAATAATATTAAGTTGCTGAAGCAATATAAATAAAATTACATTGTTAGAAATACATTTCCTTCTGGAATCCATCATGATAAATTCTTGGTGAATTTGTTATGATATTATAACTGACCTGACCTTATACTCATCTTATAGTCCTCCACTGATGCTTCTTTTTATGAAAATTACGCGGACGTAGGATTGTGAAATTTTCTACACTTATAATATACAGAAGGAGTAAGAATGGTTGTATTTTTTTAAATTTAAGTATAAAAAATACATTAAATCAATAAAGAAATCACTACCATGTATTTGAAAAGATAAAAGAGTATACATGCATGTGCATATATACTCTTTTATCTTTTATTTATTATTAAAGTCTGTGGTTTAATTTAAAATAGACTAATATTGTTCGTTTTTAATATTATTTGTCTATAATTTTACTGCATGTTAAATTAATTATGATCGAATTTCAACCATTCAACGACCACTAGTTATAATAAAGGGACTAACATCGAGAAGCTTTCCAAACTTAATGGACCAGAGGCAGATATCGAAGACATCCTGGCCCGCTGCAGCGCACAGCTCGCTGCTGGCGTCCAGCGCTGCACAGCTGAACTGCACCAGGGTGGTAGAAGTCAGGGTCCGGAAGTTGCGGTACCTAATAATATATATATATCTTATACACTGATATGATTAGACTTTGTAAAAATATAATTAGAAATAATATTTATTGAAATAAACTTAATGTAAGCACATATTACTAATCATATTTTTATTACTCTACCACTTATTCGGAACGCAAACTCTGCATGAGAAGAACGAGCAAGAAATATGCGTTTAAATTAAGGTTATACAGGAGTACGTTTTTAAAAAAAATTATAAACTGCCAAATAGCAAAATTGACATAAATAAATGAAAAGTTACTTGAGTAACAAAATAAATCAGTTATAGTTATCAGAGCAGATCAGTATGACGTGTGAGACAGACATCACTACACTCAGTCATATTTTAGGGACCCCGATGACCCGTCCCACTACGCTTCCACAACAAAATGTTACACACGTTACTTATACCTCTCCAGAACAATTGTAGACTGAATTGAAATGGCATGTATACTCAAGAGGACAGTTTTTTATGCAATATTAAATTTTCCCTGTATAGACCGTTGTTTTAGTTTATATCAAAATGCGTATATTTATTTTAAAAAAACACTTACCTAGTTAAATCGTAGCATCTGACTGTACCATCAAGTGATGATGACACAAAGAACTTCTTATTTGCACTAAACACTATACTGGTCACCGATGACTTATGCTCGCTGAATGTAACGAAGCAGAATCCTGTGCTTGTATTCCACACCTTGACTTTCCCGTCGTACCCTCCCGTTACTATGTAGAGGCCGTCGGGTGAGTAAGAGAAACAGGTCATGTCTAGAGAGTGGCCCTGTTGTTTCATTACATATTGTTCACCTGCCAGGAAAATTAGACATTAAAACTAACATAAAAATTAGAAATTAAAATTAGACTAAAAATTGCCGTGGCAACGTGCACGGCAATTTTTAGAAATATGGCCTTATTTCAAAATGACTATTTTATTTAATCGCATTAGCTATATATTAAAAGGTAAAGCAAAAATTTTTTAATGTAAATTGTGCAGATGTAGAAGTTCGAAAACTTATAGTTTATGTAGAAAAGGAGTGCAGAATTCTAATATTCCTTTTATAAAATAAGATTATGAAAGATATGAACAACTTAGTTATATACAATAAATAGTCGTTTACTCTTAATAACTATTCTAATACTGTTGGCCGCAGCTAGGCTTTACAGCTTCACCGGTGAGGGGGCGAATGCAGATGGCACTCCAAAACCAAGGAAGGACTTGTGGAGTGGCTGAAGGTCAACTCTTGCCTGCAAGATACCTTACTCTGAGGGCACCCCACTAAGAGTTGGTACCTCGGCCCGTCTGAATTTCACTTACTCTGCCACTCCCATACGAGCAGTTGACCAATATGCGGACATCCAAATGCTATCCAATCTCCAGGCGGTGATATTGCTATACTGCTGATCCTGTGTTCCGATATACTGAGCGTGTGAATAAGGTTCACATCTGGCATCTCGTGGAGAAAGAATATACCGCTGGAGAAACCTAAAAAATAGCATAAAATAAAATAAAACTTAATAAACTTCTCTCCTCTACCCAAAGGTTGTCTGGAAGAGATTGCTACGCGACAAGACCGCCTTTTGTGCCTTATTAGTTATTAAGTACTTATGTTCTTTGTAATATACTTCTAGTGCAATAAAGAGTAAATAAATAAATAAATAAAAATAAACTGCTAATTTATATTCAATATATGGGATAATTAGTAATTTCTTGAATATTGAACATTTGTAATATTGAAATAACCGTTTTTTACTACATGCATATGAATATACGATACATACACCAAAACAACATTTTTTTTAATTGTTGTCTGTCTGTCTGTTTGTTCCAGCTAATCTCTGAAATGGTTGGGCCGATTTCGACGGGATATTTTTGGCAGGTAATTAAGTAATAAATAGTAACTTACTTTTATTTTAGAAATATTATTTTATTTTAGAAAAATAAAGTATAATTCCACGCGGAGGAAGTCGCGGGTACAGCTAGTTTGTTATATTATTCATTGTACATTTAGATTTAAAACAGTACTTAGCCGAGTATTAGATACACTACCACGTTTATTGGTAAAGTCTGTGGTCAAATTGAGGATAGATTTATTTATATAAACAAAAACCCTGTATAATTAACATCACTATCTAGTCCCACGTTAACCAGAGCTTGTGTTATGGATACTAGACAACTAATAAGAGAAAAAATTCTGCCTGTCTGTCGGCTGGACTGATTTTGACGGGACTCTCACTCTGGTACTCACACTTTCACGTCTCTACTAAGTTAATGTCATAAGGAGTAACTTAGGCTACTTTTAATTATAAAAAAGTGAAATTCCATGCAGACGAAGTTCCGGCTAACAACTAGGTACAAATAATAACCCTTATTTAGTTAACCCTTATGTTAAGGTCTAAAAACTATTATTAATAAAAATTACCTGTGATTAACAACTTAGTGCCCTTGTGGTACTGAGCTGCAGTCAATTTAATCTTATAGTCGGATCTCCTGAGCGCCTCGCCTATGTAATGTCTACCTAGTTTTTTATAATACAATCTGTTGCCGTCTTCTTTATCATTGCTATTTATTTCTGCATCCTGTTCATTGTCACTCTCCTGAAATTTAATTATAATAATACAACATATAAAAGCTTGTACTATAGGTACCACAAAACTGATTTTTTTAACTGATTTTTACGGTGCACCCTCCTGGTTTACGGTTTACGCTGGCGGGGCACTAGCAGTTTCTACTATCATCCACTAGATTCTCCAACAAAAGATCGGGACACACAGTAATTACTATATCCTTACACTAATTGACTATTGATGCTGGACGCCCATGATAATTTTAATTTTATCTTTATATACAAAAATTATGTATCACGTTGTTTCTTTCAATTATGTATCAAATTATATTACATAATTATGTATCAAATTACCAAATGACGACCTCGGTGGTCTAGCGGTCTAGCATACCGCTTTACGACCGATGGTCGCGGGTTCGATTCCTCGCACGACACAAACATTTGTATTCATGAGTATGATTGTTTGTATAGGTCTGGGTATTTTCTATATATAATATGTATGTATTTACGAAAAAAAAAATTATCTATGTATTTGTATCAGTTGTCTAGTACCCACACAAGCTTTAGCTAGCTTAACTTGGATCTAGATGGCGCTGTGTGAATTGTCCTGAGATTATTATTATTATTATTAAATTGTTTCAGTAGTTGTCCGCAATGGACTCCTAGTCCATCGCGGACAACTGCTGAAACAATTGCAAACTTGATTTGCACAATATGTGCAATTTGATCCAACTTGAAAGATAGGATAGCTTACATCTCAATTTATAATCGCAATATTATTTTATTCAAGAACTTTAGCCATAGCAACGCGTAGCTTGGTCTGCTAATTTACTATAAAATGATTCGCCTTAAGACCCTGTTATCAATATAAATAATGTATATTAAACGCTGAATTTTAAAAATATAAAATCTATACTTACATATTCCTTATCTTTTTCAACAACATTCTTTTCATCAATATCATCATCACTCTCTTGCTCCTTCTCTTTCTTCTGCAATTTTCTCCTCTTCCTATGAGATGTCTGTACCTCCGAGATTACCAGATCATCCGAATCAATACTCGCCTCCCACAAACAAATCTGACCATTCCTGCTCACTGTAATAAGGTCCAAACTCTTTTTCTCGAAGAAAACACCAACAACCTTATCAGTATGACCACCCAATGAATACATATAAAAATTCTCTAAATATTCAGGTGTGTATATTTTAGTTGTTGTATCTTTAGAACCGACAGCAAGGAGGTTGGAGCATGAGGACCAGTCGAGGCAAGTTACTTCATCGTGGGCCTTTTGGAAGACACGCTTTATGACGAAGGAACGGAACTCGCCTGTGAAACAGCTGGGAGCTGTCATTATGAACACTGGAATAGAAGAAAATAACATATATGTGTATACTGTTTTTAAGTGGCATATTTTGATACTCAATGCTGATATAATTTAATTCAGATTGGCCATTTAAAAAATAAATTAGACCATCATACAAGGTTTTTCCATTTATTTTATTAAATGGCAATACTAACCCGTCTGATCACAACAAGCAGCAAAATACTTTCCGTCCGGACTGAATTTAACAGCATTGACATGCTGTTTGAACTTGTACCTGTGTACTACTGCACTGGTTAGCATGCTGATCATTTGTGCTTCACCCTCTGCAAAAAAATATGTTCATTAATCTACTGCTGGATATTGTTTATTAAATACTAGCTTTTATCTGCAGCTTCGCTCACATTAAATCAAAAATATTTGTTTTTTTAAATATAAATTACCATATATTCACTCCCTCAATACTCAATACCTTCAAGAACATGTGTACAGAATTTAATAATGATCGGTTCAGTAGTTTTTGCGTAAAAGCGTAACGAACATCCCTACTTTCACATTTATAATATTAAGGATTAAGCTTTACTGTGGCATTCCCCACCATTCCTTTCACCATACCAATTTCCTAGTGATTTCTTTCTAAAACCTATCATTCAATTTTTTTATGTTAAAAATCAGTTATTTTAAAAGGCTAGCTAGCTTTCTAAATTTTGATGAGGAGGGGCATATAACATATATAATCTTAATAATATTACAAACGCGAAAGTTTGTAAGTATGGATGTATAATACTATTTCACACATAAATCACTGAATTTTTATGAAACTTTCCAGCCTTCAGAATAATATCAGAATAATATATAGGTGCTATATTTTTATTGAAATTGAAAGCAGGTGAAACCGTTTGTAGAAAGTTTGTAATATTAAAAATCAATCAGTTGTAGCCTTAACTTTAAAGCCTACCATATTCATAATTAAAAAAAAATGTTCATATATGTACATTTTTTATTGAACTAAATACTTACTCTCATTTACAGCTAAGAGCATAGACCCACTGGGTGACAGATCTATAGCTGTGTAGTTGAAGCGACCTTCCACAGACAGTGTGTTGCTTTTATTACTGGAAATTAATGTAATACCAAACTTTAATATACCACAGAGAAAGTATCATTATCACAATAAAAATGATCTTTATTCAAATAAATTTAACATAAGTACTTTTAAACAGTCATATAATATTTTTACTCTACTGCATATTTGGAAAGCAGACTACACAAGAGTTACTCTTGCAAGAAACTTGCTGCTGTTTTGTCTTTTACATAAAAGCTGTGTTGCATTACATGAGGTAACCAAAGTAAGAATCAAGCATTTTTATCCAGCCTTGACTGGATAAAAATGCTTGTAAATGTATATTTTTTAAACAAAATGTTAACAATAATAACCCTAGATGTTTCACACAGCGCCATCTAGTCCCATACTAAGCAAAGCTTATACAACATAAGTTTACAACTAGACAACTGATAGAAATGTTTAAATACATTTTTTTTTGTAAATATACAGACCACTAATAATAAATACATAATATAATAATAATAATAATCTCAGAACAATACACACAGCGCCATCCAGTCCCAACTTAGGCCAGCTAAAGCTTGTATTATGGGTACTAAATAACTGATGCAAATACATAGATACTTTTTTTGTAAATACATACATAATATATATATAAAATACCCGGACCAATACAAAACAACCATACTCATGAATACAAATGTTCTGACTGTTGAAGGCAGTGTGCTAAACTGCTAGATCACCTAGACCACTATAAACACTGGTAGTCATGTATGAAACTGACTACCAGTGCTTGCAGTTTTCATTCCTTGCACCATGCGAGGAATCAAACCTATAACTCTCGAAATTAATGCACTAATATTAAATACAATGATGGAGTCACTTACTGTTTGAGGTTGTATACGGTGATCCTGTTACCCACAGGACTAATGACACAGTTGCCATCTTGTGTAAATATTATATCTCCTTTCTTATATACAGTTCCCAGTAAATTGCTAAACTGTAACACAGAAGTACATCTTATTAATATTATAAATGCGAAAGTTTGTTTGTTTGTTGGGCGGATGTTTGTTACTCTTTCACGCAGAAACTACTGAATGAATTTTGTTGAAACTTTACAATGATACAGCTTATATCTCAGAATAACACACACTTCCCTGAAACTGTGGTCACAGCTAGTTAAGAAATAAATTTCAATTGAACAAAATAATATAAATATAACAAAAATATAAATTTTAACAACATTAAGTATATAAATTTCAATAAAATAAAATCACTATTCTTAAAACTATATTAATTTTAATAAAGAAAATAAATTTAATATTCGAATTCAATTGTGTACTGATACAAAAATCAATTGATATACAATATAGCTCAGTCGGAAATTTTTTAATTGTTATTATGATTTTTATTGTAGTTGTTATAATTATGTTAGATAGCATGTATAGTACGGAGTTCGAAGCATTTGCTACTCTTGGTAACAGGCTAGTCCATCACTGGATCTAAGTCAAACGTATACGCAAAATTTATTGACTACACCGCCAAATCTAACCAAATGTTAAAGATATATGAGCTGCGATTTAGTCTCATTTGTGTATTAAATATATAGTAGACCTATACATGACGACGAAATATACATGACCCTTCTCTTTTCTGCGTGAGTTAAAGCTCCAAGAATTAAAAGCAATAATTTTTATATTGTCGCAATAAGTATAAATAAAACCTAAAAGTGTAATTGTTGAAAATGAAAACCTAATAATTGAAATTACCTTATAATTGAACTTCATCTTGCAGGGCCGTTTTATCAATATTTAATAACAGACTAATAATAATGCCATTATTTTAAGAAAAACGAAGAATATATTAAAATAAATTCAAAATCACGATAAACATGTGCACATGACGTTTGAAATAGTTTTGATAAAGTTGTCAGTTGACTGTCAGAATGTATTTTTTTTGTTCTGTTTCTCCTTTAAAAGAAAGACAAAGGGAACTGTGCCCATACAGCTATATCAAATGCAAACTTGACAGGAAGTCATAATTTATTACTTTTTTTTTTTTTGTTTTATTACTGTTTTAGGATATGCCAACGTAAGAAACTATGATGTCTAATGACAACTTAAAAATATAATTTTAATTAATAAATATTATTTTATATTTAACTGCTCTTTAAAAAATATTTACTTTATTTGAAAAAACACCGAAAGTCACTTGGAGGAACAATTGATAGTTTTTTTTAAATGTCTAGTATAGAATGGAATGGAAATTACTTTTTTGATATCTAGATCCACTTTTCCAAAGCAATGGCAATTAATTGCGAATTAGACCGAACCGTAAAGCACAGAATTTAACGCAGGATGTATAAAGTGGTGGTAGGTTACGGCGACGACGTGTGAGTCACGTGTCAAACTTAAGGGGAAAAAATGATAAGGATAAATTCGATCGTGGTGAATTTATTATGAATTTACCACGAAGCTTTTCAGGGGCAACCACATGCAGATCGACTTATCTACCTTCATTGGTAACAATTGGGTTAAGTCGAATTACAACAACTCACTCCATCTACAACTGTAGGGTGAAGAATACAAGCAAGAAGTTGGTACTTAGGCTCTTTTATGTATCTGTAAAATAGCAAACAAACTGTATACCTACCACAGACGGTCATCATGAAATACATTGCGACGTCTGTACCGGAGTACCTTTGATGCTATGCCATTCCAAAGTCTCAACTTCTTATAATTCTTATATTAACAATCGGTGGCAGAAGATCGTTATTAGTGAGAAGTTGAGAAACAGTTGCCCCCCCTTCCTGTTGTAGTTAAAGTACCATGGCAAATTGACCTTCCGAGCTGGAAGCTATTGTGGTTATAATTTCAAAACTGATCTGACTTGATGCTCTTCCTATTATTCTCTACTGGTACTCCGACAGCGACAGTTTTTTTTATGGATGATAATGGAATGGTGAACCTGCCTGTGCTGGTATACGCTGTTACACGGTTTATGTACCATGTCAGGTTAACCTCCACGCGGTTCTCCCTGGAAACCACGGTGATAATTTCCTGGTGAATTTGTCACGATGGGCTAACTGGCCTGACCTCATGTTCATCTTATCATCCTCCACTAGTGCCCCGCCACCGTAAACCGGTAGAACAGGCGGGTGTATCATTCCATTATCATTCATAAAAAAGCAGTAGATGACAATCATCATGACGGGAATGACGCAGAGCTGGCGGGGTGTGGGGGGAGGAGTGTACTATTTTCAAATAGTATTATTTATATTCAGGGAAGTAGTATTCTATTTTTGTTAACAACAGAAAAAAAAACAGAATTGTTGTAAATTAAAAAACCCAATTATACACCACATCCAAGAAACTGTTTAAAAAATTCATAACTCATATATTTACATGCTAATTTTCAACTTTCTATCTCGACTTAGAAATAAAAGAATCGACATAATATTTTTCTAAGGTTGGGTTTTCAAGTTGTCACAAATCCGTTTTCTTTACTCTTTAACGACAATAAAATATTGAATTTACTTGTGCGGAGACTAGAGGAATATAACAGGATACGGGTAAATGTAGGTCAGTAGGTTCTATATTACGATATTACAGTCAATCCTGTCGAATTGAACAAGAATTCATCATTCAGCCACCAGAGGGAATGCCTGTATTCTTTGGTAGGTTAGTTAGGGCTTAATAAAAGGCAATAAGCTTTACAATTAAATAGGTGATCCGACACAATAATGTCGTTTTCATATCAATCGATACAGTATATATTAGTGTTTCATTTATTTATAATGTAAAATTTATTTGTTGTATATTAATATGATTTTAAATTTCCCGCTAGTTACTTATACAAGTGACGTAATCAAGACGTAATTGAACTACTTCAATTTCAGTTAAGCCAGTGTGGATGTAAAAATTAAAAATAAAATACACATGCTCAAACATTACAGTGTAACTTCCATATTCATAATGCAGACAATGTCTATCTGTCTATATCTCTGATAGTTATATTTAAAAAGAAAATACTTGAATATTTCATATCTGATATAGGGATAAATATAGAAATCTATCAGAATATTATATACCATCAATCTTATATTCATCATTTACCTACGTATTTTGTAAACCTCAAGAAGATAGTATTACCACAGTTAATATAATATTACATACTATTACTTAGTTTCTGTAATTATAAGTGATAACTATGCTATTTATTAAGCCATTAGATGAATAAATATTAATTTCTAATTTTAAAGTTTTATATTTCTCTAGCATGGCTCAGCAAATTAGTTGGGATTTCTTTTCTGTGGTTATAACAATAATAATCGTTATTTGCAAGAAAAACATAAATGTGTAATTTTGTTTTATGTTCATGTTCATATTTACTTTTACAAAAGCTTATTTATTAATATAAAAACTCCATAATATAATTTTATAATTTCGTTAGTTGTATGACTCGGAAGGACATGAACCACATAAAATATTATGTGGTTTATAACTTTCTGAATCATGATATTCTACCTGGCTTTCGGCTTAGTATGCGTGTAGGTACTCATACATTGTGAAGTGAGTAATCTAGCGAAATGTAACGTAATTACACAAGATTGTAAGAAGTCATCTACGTGTATAATAATTTATAGTTATAAAAATAAAAAATATCGTTTATTTGAATGAAACATTTTAATACGCATAATTACGAAATTATATTATTGTAAAAAAAATGTTAGTTGTGTTCATAGTTCTAAACTACATAATAAGTACTAAGTTTATTTTGCTGGCAACCTTAACCGCTAGTCACATTCATTTTTAATTTTATAATTATAACTGTTTTCTATTTTTATTTATAACATAATTTAATAATATATTATTTTATGTCCGAAAACTGTATAATTGCTATTATAAAATATGCATTTATCTATATTCACATTAAAAAAGTATTGAAACTACGAAACAGTACATGCGCAGAAGAAAAATGCTGGCCAGCGATCCACATCAATGCTGAACGTCATATCGCCGCAAAGTTATATGCCTACGATTGGCTGCGCATTTCGGAAGTGACGTACGCAGACCAATCAGAACTTGGGTCATATCGAGCACTGCCTTCGACATCAATCGTCATATGACCCAGTCTGTCGTGTCTGCAAAGCTTGGTCCATATTTGTCTCTACTAAGTAGTTCTGTGGAGTGAGTGTGTGCAGATAGTCATCACAGTTTTTTGGGACCTGTAAATACTCCCACATTTCAAGTTCAAAATGGCCGAAAACCCAATCTACGGACCCTTCTTTGGAGTTATGGGGGCGGCGTCAGCTATCATCTTTAGCGGTATGTACCTAGTGCGCCTTGATACCATTGGAATGGCTGTCTGAATCATTATCGATCCTCGAAGTCTGCACTTTTATTTTAGGATTGTAGTGTCCCGAAAACCTGTCCCACTGAACAAATTCTAAATTGTTACCTTGGTCGGCTATAAAAAAGCTGTCTGGTTACGTTATTTTGAGCATCCTAATTATAGTAATAGCCGCACCTTAGTACCTAGCGATAAATTTGGACCCCTGATAAAACTGTATGATTATGTGATTTGTTACGATTGTTGGGTAAAAAAACTAGTTTGAAGCTTAAATTTCAAGGAAATTAAGCGTGAGGGATGAAACAAGATTGTGAATCATTAGTCATGTGACTTGTAGTTATCTCCATGTTGGTAGTACTGGAAAAACACCAGCCTGACCTGAAATGTTTTATCTTTTATACATTCACTTTATATAGCTTTCTGAAATCAATATTAAGGTATAGAATCTGGACATTGAGTATCACACAAAGAGAGTTAGTTACAGCATATTAACTGACTAAGTTTACGTGTTATATAGTAATTTCTATACTAAAGAGCCCTATTCAGATTTGTAACAAGTACTATAACAAGATTAGGACTATAAAAGTACTTAAAGAAATGTGATTATAGAAATTTCATCTCAAAGAATTGCTATGTTCAAATACATAAGCATATATCACGTTACTATCACAAAGAATAGTTGTATTAATATCAAATTGACTTAATTCCAGACAAAAAAGACAGAACTATCATAATGATGTACTTAAGTCATCACATGACTTAGTCTTGGTCATGTGACCAGTCAGCTGTTTAGTCATGCTTAACTTAACCTATCCAGTACTATTATCAATATAAAATAACTGTTATTATTTATACAATAAAACACAATTTCAAACAATCCCCACTATATTTAGTGGATATCCTATTATTTGTTATACAATAAAGGATATTTTTCATGATCATTTGAATCACATGATTATGTTCATATGACTTCTTGTATTTAGTCTACACTGTACTGATTAAATAATATAGATTCTGATATCTTGTAATCAATAATGATACAGTAGTTATCATTGATATTTCAATGCAAATATAATTCTGTGGTCCTTTTAATTAAGATAAGTACTTAATTAACTAACAGATTTAATTAGACACTGGAAATACCCTTACTACCCTTACTTACTACTGGAAATATACTTGCTCCCCTTATTCTATATTGAGACTAGATCATATACCTCTTATACAATTATGTTAGTTAAATATGTTAGAGATATAGCTTACAAATACATTCTCTGCAAATTGCCTATTCCAAGAACAAATCTAAATTGTTGATTATTTTCATTAACAATTATAGTCTCAATTTTATGTTGATTATTTTCATTAACGATCATAGTCTCAATTTTATAGTAAGCTTCAATCTAAATGTAATTGTACTTGAAATAGGCTCTTTACTTGCTTATGTAATCTCTAAATTGGGAGTTTCCCAAAATTGTGTTCCCTAAAGTGTTCTGTAGAATATGGAGTTTGTTCCAATAGTCCAAAATGAATATATAATATTGAAATAGTA